TGTTACGCTGTCAATCGATCGGGTTTTGCAGGTCAAGGCAGGAAACGTGTCAAACAACCGCAGTCCTTAGCGTTACAGAATACTGACACAGTTTTATATTCAGGATTCTATAAGTGGCGTCTCCGGACAAACTTTTCACCAAAGTCACAGCAGAGTTACTGCCCGTCTTTCTGAAACATAACCTGAAACATAAAATATGAATCAATCTGTTCTTGGACAATGTAGAACAAACTGTTTCTCAGAGGAACGCCCTGACTTTGAGCTGTAGAACATCTTTATTTTTTATCCTTATGGTACTTTAGTATTTCTTGTCTTGTCTTCCTCCATGCTGCATTTGTACCCAGCTGCTCTAACATGTAAATCAATAAATATTTTATTGCATCCTACCCTTTAAAAAAAAAAACACCTCTAGCCACAGACTGTGAAATGGCTGATTGTCCCCATCACCTTGTAAACCTGCTCTGACAGCAGCTCTCACCAGGAAGAGATAACTCATAAATGAGAGGTCTGCTGGCACAATATGAAAACATGGCCTGTAAATATGGAGAAAACAAAGATGCATTGTCCACACAGTCGTACTCTTTTAACTGTGTGTCTTTTTGGTGGCTTTTGTTAGTGAAAGACAACAGTACAATCCCAACTATAGGAGCCAGAAAACTGGAAAACACACATGTCCTTACACTAATTGACAGTTAAACCTTATAGTTAAGAGTAAGTCTTGATTGGCTGAACTGGACTCATGAACTCTATAAACAGGATGCAGCGTTGAAACAGTTTGACTTATCAGCTGAAACTGGGGTTGATTTATTATCTTTAGCTCGACTAACATTATCAGTTTCAGTTTGCAGTCATATTTTAGGGCACTGGTGTTGGATATTATCACTAAGAACAATGAAGTGAAGCTTGATGTGATGTTGTTGTACTGCAGCCGTGGATGTGATGCATGATGCATGGTAGACGCTGATTTTTGCATTTTCAGATGAGTATTTTCATATAGTTGCCTCCGTAGTAGCCTTAGCCGTGCCTTCTTGGATGCGTCACTGTGCAAAGTTTTATTATCCACCCTGACCTCATAACAATCCACCCAAAATACTGCCTAGAATTGTTGTTAAAGACCCTTTAAAGCATTTCTTTTTCTCTTTAAATGTAAGCCCTCATCCTGCCACTGATCAACTGAAAGTTGACACTGTTGCTGTCGGTCATTTTTGCATTTTTCTTTTTAACATATAGAACTGGAAAGAATAATCTACAGTCTCTGGTTCCCACAGGTTACAATTTAAACAGACTTTGCATAAATTCCAAAGAATCTGAGGTGTTTACAGCTTTTAGGTGGATTCCTGTACGTCAGGTCATTTTTAACTGGATCATTCACCTGGTTTTCTGCTGCATTTTTGGATCATATTGCCGAGCAGGAAGCAGCATCTTGGGTGAAGTAAATTTCACTATCAAATAAGAACAAGCCACAAACGCAGCCTGTGATGGAGCCCATCGGGCTGCTCGCTGCATGTATTTCTTTCACCATTGTGCCATTAAACATAATGATCCGGTGTTTGGCTGCTTATTTACCTGACTAACTGGTCAGGCTGGTGCCTTCTGTCTCAGTCTTCTGGGTGACACTCGAATTTAAATATGAGTTCTGAGTGCAGACAATACAGACGGCAATGCTAATATAGTGAGATGACTGGGAGAAAATCACAGGTTGTGGTGCACTTGAGGCAACAATCCTTGTTTATTTTTTGATCGTTTGTTTAATTCTAGTTCCAGGAAACCCGCACAGACTAAATAAAAACCCCATTTTAGATGTCTGAAGCGTCCTCACGGCCAAACTCGCAGCGATATAATAAGATCCCAGGCTGCGGCTGTGAGATCGGTGCTGCTGCGTGTGTTTGAGAGTTTTCAGAGTGCAAACAAACATTTTGTGAATGAGTTAACCGAAGAGCCAAAGTCTGTTCCCTGTGGCTTCAGACAAGGACACAGTCTGGTGTCAAAAAAATTCCCAGCTGTCTGGTGAAGGGTCATAAAGAGATTTTTTTCTTTTCTTTTTTTTCCCCTCAACCTAAACTAAAAATATAACGACTTAACTGTCCCCCTCCAGTTTGTATTTGCAAGCTGGTTGTCATACTTAATGCTAAACAGGCCAAATGGGATCAAATGCACACCACTTTAGAATAATCAGCTGTGGAATATAGTGAAGTGGCTCGTTGCATGCAACCTTTACACGTTTTCAATTTACATTTTGCAAGGTTACATCTGCCCCATATATGAATTTATTTAAAAAGTAGCATGTTTTAGCCTCTCTTAATAAGAACTGATCATTAGATTACACATAGTCTTGCTATCACAGCACACTAACAAGCCCTCCTTTTAACATAGTTTTCAAGGTGAACCACAAAGCCTTTATTTTGCCCTTAGGCCCACATCCCTGATCGCCTTTCCTGAATCCCTTAAACTCAGTCTTAGGGGTTTTTTTGTTTTTTTTAAGGGGTCTTCTCACCTTATCTGCTACAATAGGCCTTTCACATCCCATTCAACCCTCTGTGATCACAGATAACCAGTCAGATGTAACCCCCAGCACCAGAAAGGCCCTATTGTTTGAACAGGTCAGCGGCTGACGTAAAGCTTCTGGCCAATTAGAGATAATACATTGGAAAGTGCATGCAGGAGCCTATTTCCATCAGCACCTGTAATTATAGCAGAGCAGGTGGTAACGACTTCCCGTCTCCCAGAGGACGGTGGGGCTCGGGGCAGGCAAGTGTTTGCATGTGCACATTAGAAAGACAGAAAATAAACTGACGTGCAGCTGAGAGGAACAAAACATAATGGCTGCGTTAAAGCTGTACTTATACTGTGATATAACCACGCCGGAAAGTATTTAAAGGAGCAAACAAGCTTTAAAATCAGTGCTGCTGCAGTTGTCAGAGGGTACCTGAAAGGTTGTGAAATACTTGTTTTCTTTTAAAAATGAATTAGGATTTGATTTCAAGATATGTTCAAATGGTAAAAACAGGATGACAAACTGATGTGATGCTAATGTTGGAGACACAAAATGTGCTGAAAGAGTAGGAAGCCTACAAATAATGGAGAAGCATTAGAAATAGTAATAAATAAACAGTTAAAATTGTAAGCTAGAAATAAGTGCTAGCTAAAAGTAATGGATAAACCAATGGAAATCATCAACAAAAAGCATTCTTTCGCTAAAAATAATAGATAACAGATAAACAGCTAAAAATGTGACTATTTCTTAGCAAGGAAATGATTGGTAAACAGTAAAAATGGCTAGCTAAAATAATGTCTAAACAGCTAAAAGTGTTAGCTTAAAGTAATTGTTAGCTAAATGTAAAAGACAAACAGACAATATTAATACCTAGAAGTAATTGTTAGCTAAAAGTAATAGATGAAGAATAAACTTTTTTAGCTAAGAGTAATAATAAAGAGTTAAAAAAGAAAGTAATATTTAGCTAAACGTATTAACATTAACTAAAACGCTGTGGTTAAACAGGAGTAACAGAAATGGATGAACAGTTGAGGCTGATAATCGCAATGAATAACAGCAGCAGCATAAACATGGTCTCTTTGGCTATTAAAAATATATATTTTATCAATCTCCCTTTTATATAATCAGTAGTTTTAAGTACATAGACTGTATATATAAGACGGGTGTTCTTTATAACAGCCAGCAGGAGGCGATTCAGATTGTGTGGACGTCTTTGAGAAAATGACTGTATTTCTCGGTTGATTTATTACCTCAATAAGCATTTTCCTAATGAGTTTATGACCTCATTTGCTAGTTTGAACTCTCCTTCAGCACAGCATGGTGTTCATTCGGTAAACTATGATGCCATTTAAAGTAAAACATACTGTGAAGCAAGGTTAGTTTGAGGGTGTAACCAGCTTGTTATTGGCAGTTTGCTACTGTATGGAGGTGCATTGTATATTCACACATTACTGCTTATGTCGGGTTTGAAAGACCAAGATAATGGCGACCAAAATGCTTCATGACAGTAGTTTATAAACCCATTAGTGAGGTCATGGTTGCTCTGTCCATCTTATGGGTAACTAACATGCAGCATTGACTAGAACTCATTTAAAACGTGTTTTCTATCGCTGGCTACTTGTTCATTCAGACTCTCGGCACTGTGGGGAATATGCCAGACATAAAGTTTATCTAGTCTGTTTGAGTGATCCAGATCACTCATGCGTTTTTCTGTTACTTTCGCAGCCTCATTGTAGATGGAAATTGCAGGGTTTATTTTCCCTCCCACAAAAAGCCATTTGCTGCCATCCATTTTGAATTGCATGCAAAACAACTTCAACAAGCCCTTAAAGTGACCTGAGCCGCATAATCCATCACAGTAAACAAGAAGCTGAGATTTGCTTCTCTTTGCATTTCAGCTGAGTCCTTCCTTCACTCAGCCTCAGCATTTACATATCAGTGCTCGTCTGGTGTTGTGCTCCACTTGTTGTCCATCGCCTCCCACAGGAAGATGCGTTTGAATATGTCGCCTCACAAAACTTATGGTCATACCTGCGGTTTCCTTTTTTCTTGTTCTAGGATCCGGTAACAGTTGATTCGGTGAGACGTTCAGTGCTTAAAAGTGCGACGTGTATTTTTTAAAACTATTCTACTCAGCTCACAGCAGCACATCAGGTCAGCCATCTGCACAACCTCTGAGGTGCTGCGCTTCTTTGTAGACATCTGCGAGAACACACTGACCCCGTTTACACGAGAACGCAGCTTTGTTTTGCTAAGTGGGCTTTTTTTTTTGTAATGTAGTGCAAACGAGCTGAATCAGACTTTGAATGTTGCGTCACCGCCATGTTGATTCTGAAGACAGAGTCCAACTTGTTTGCCCCGTAAACCGTTTGGGAAGAACACTCTTTGAAGCCAAACCTGGACGAAAACAAACATCGGTTTTACTTTTTTTTTTTACAAGCGAACACGGAGCTGGAGCGGAGAGGTGCCTGCTGTTAACATAGAGCTGTGTGTTTGTGTATCCAGGGCCAGGAGCATGACTGAGCAGCAGGAGCAGAGTGAAGAAACAGGCCTGATCTCGACACAGGACCTGGAGCCCTCCAAAGACGACGACACACACGGCCACTTCAGGCAAATTTCTCACACAAAAACACACACTGCTCCGCAACACTTGCTGTCTTTCCAGTTTTTTTTCTACCTCCCCATCCACCCACCCCCCACCTTCACACACCATCTGTATCCTGTGCATGGTCATGGGTTACAGCCCTGGGAGATTTATTTTCACAGCACTGATTTTGTGCTTTTATTTCAGTTGTATTTGATGTCAAACAATGGTCAAATGCACACACACACACATGCACGTAATAGGGACTGCAAACAGAGATTTACAAAGGTTTTTTTTTTTTTTTTCTCGTCCCCACTGAGGCCTCAATGAAGAAAATGTGCTGCAGTTATACTAGTAATAAAGTGTTTTAATCCGCATGCGTCTGCAGACAGAATGCATGTGTGTTGGTGCGTTACGTAAGAAGGATTCGCAGCAGGAGCAGTGTAATCCCGGGGAATCTGTTCGGGGATGGGATTTAGCGCTGAAGCATGGTGTGTTAGTCGACTCAGTGAATGAGAGGGACTTGAACACTTTATACACATGTCAGTCTTGAATAGTCGGTAAGCAATATGAGTGTATTTTTTTTTTATCCCTGTTCACTGCCCAACTCACCTCAACACTCCCCTCTAGCCACAAGTCATATTTCAGAGTAAATATTACAGTATCATAAAAGAAAAACACCATAAGAAGATAATAATAACACTATAAAGTTGTCACATGAGTTCCCAAACACTTGATTTTCTGCCAAGTGACAACTTCCAGGGCTGAAAAATTAAGCACCAAAAAATGCAGTTCCTCAAATGGCCACTCGACGCAGCCTCCAAAAGTGAGTCAATCCCCAAATTTTAAAATGACCAACTTTACAGCAGGTAGAAACATGCTTACAGCCTCGTATTAAAAATGATTTTAGTCTGTATAGCTAATTTTCCCATTCATGACAACTGTAGGGAGGGTGTATTTTTATATAACTCACCCATTTAAACTGTATTAAGGATTAAAGTTATTCATCATTGGGGGCTTAGCTGCTTTAAGTCGGTGCTGTGTTTTAGCAACAAGACTTGATTCTGCCCATCTCAGTTCCACTAAATCTTTACCTCTTTGCCAGCATTTAAATTTGCCGGCACTACCAATATGGCGACGGTCACCACACTGAACTTTAAGTCACTGTTCAGGAAACCAGTGGGTGATATCATAGAGGGTTCATTTATCTTTATGCTATAAGACACACTTAAGAACACCAACAATCATTTTCATATCGCTAAACATGTTTCTTGCTCACTGAAAAGTGAGTATTCACTCTCTATTTAGCTCCATTTTGGTCTACACCAACTCATATTTAGCATCTAGCCTTTTAATTGCTAACTGCTCCACTGTATACTGGTGCTGGGCAGTGAGTGTATGGAGCAACCTTATTAGAAATGGTGAATGTTATTGAGAGGGAGACTTAAGCGTTAAATATGCTGTAAAATAGAAACTATGAGCAAAATGATGCTAAAAGCTAGCATCTAAGAATTAGCTAATACTTTTCAGCAGGTTTCTCTTCTTGAGCAACTATTAGACATTTCATTTGCTTCAGTTGTCATGTTAGAAATCACAGTGAATGTAGTTAATACACATAAAAACTATCTGGTTTTATGGCGTGTAGTCTGACTCGGTATGAGTCTGCCATCTCTGCTGCACATTTCACATGGCTCAAGTTACTGTCTTCAAAACACCCTTTGCTGTGCTAAACAACAGCATCCAGACAGCAGCCTACACACTGAAAATGGCAAGTTTTGATTATGAAAGGCACTTGGTCGCTTGGTCTTTAGGGTGAACTAGCCATTTTATTGACAGTGCTCCCACCCCATGGTGCAAATGTTCCACCAAAACAATTCCCCCAGCATTATTTGCAGGGGCACCATCACTGCATCCTGGGCTTAGCACCACCCACGATGACTGTTATTGGTACAAGACATACACACAAGCCTGAACATTTAGTTTTTTTCCTCAGTTATACCAGAATGATAATAAAGTGCAGCCAACCATTCTCCACAGCAGGGATACTACAGAGATTGTGTATTTCAGCTGATTATTCACACAGAATAACCAGGAAACACTGCTGATTTTGATGTTGTTGATCTGATTAATTCTATTAATGATAGGCTTAAACTTGCTGTTTCTTTCTAAAAGCGACCTGCTTGTTCTCGGGATGTGAAATATTTAAAATTGAAACAAACTGTTGTTCCATCTCCTGAAAAGTTAACATCCTCTTATGTTAACAGCTCCAATAAAAGCTGTAAAAATGTTTTAAAAAGTTCATCCAAATGGTCCAAGCTGCTCTTGTGTTATGTAGTTTGTTATAAGCGCTGGGATTTCCATAATATCCTCAATGGCAAAGTTTGGGCTGTACTTCACTCTGCAGGTATTGCCAATAAGGAAAATTATGTGACATATAGATGCTATTGCTGAGTTCCAGGTGCGCAATATCCCAGTATGTGACAAAAAAAACCCTCAACATGTGACGCTTGCCTTTTGTCAGTTAAAAATTAGCTGGGCTGACGTAGTAGTCGTAGCCTAGAGTTTAAAACATCAGCTGACAAGTTAACTACCACACACTTGCACGAACTGTTTTAAGCCTCGTTCCAAATGAGAACTCTGATCTAATCTGAACCCGATACTTTGATTTTAAACTCTTTTTCACGGCCCTCAGCCTCACACAGACTCTATCAACTTCTCTCGGCGCTCTCAGTCCCAGTTTCTTCTCCTGCAGCTAAATTATTGACTGCGAGTCCACTGCCGCGCCGGCCACCGATGGGAGGTGTTCGCTTTCTAATTTAGGATTCAATTTAGGATTCTTTGAGCTTGTAATTAGTTTCACTATTCTGCCTCACAGCCAAGGGCACTGTGATACCCGGACAAAAAAGCGCATGCGTACACACACACACACACACACAAACACACTTTCAGGAAGGCAGCATTTTGCTTTGCTCGCCGGGGTGTAAGCTGAAACACGGGGCTGGTTTAATTTCTGCACAACAGCTTCTGAAATGGTGATCTCAGACAGTTGTTGGGTTATTATATGTTGGACTCTGACAGTTTCAATACATATATTCATTATGATCCACCTGGAAACCAACATAATTTTCTGCTTTAGCTTGTTTTTACTTCACATATAAAATTGGACCTTTTCCTCCTGGACCTGTAAATGTGAAACCCTCTGAATAATATCCAACATAAACACAAGGGGACATTTTGGTGAAGCTATCCATATCCGTATCATTCCAACATGACCTTGTTTATCCGGTGAAAAAAGAAAAAAAAAGGCTCTACCTCAGCCAGATTCACAGATCTGCTAACGGCAGTGTGGGAATTGCCTGTAGCGCTGTTCTTCTTACTCGCTTAGATGTACCAGCGGTATTGATTAAGACCTGGATCTCGGGTAAAAGGCAGAGACAGATGGAGAGGGAGAGCGAGGACCAGAGAGCCGCCCGGTCCCCACAGAGACGCCTGTGTTTTTAATAATCACTCTCTTCTCTCCACCTGAGAGCTGTGCAGCCTATTTATAGGCGGAAACCAGCAGGCAGGAAGAGAAGCACACATGCACCGTTGTTCATAACATGGTCACAAGATGATGGGATGTATTTTCCAGGAGGCGGATTTTAATGAGGGAAATGGCGAATTTGCACATCTAGGACAAGCTACATAAAATAATTAAATGTTGGAAAGGTCAAACAGAGGGTAGTTTAGAACTCGTCTGATGGCCTGGTTACTGCTGTAATTCAGTTTGGATTAGTTTCTTTAGTTGTCCTACTGCCTGAATTCATGTAATCTGCATTAAAATTATGTTGTATGAGCTTTGGAGGTATACATCATACAGTAGACGTGAACTTCAGCATGTAGAGGAGCAAAAAAAAAGCTACATAAAACAATAATATTCTGGCAGCCGGGGTGCCAAAACATACTGGAAAATAATAGAAAATCTCATAAAAATACTGTAATTTCCCACAATTTAAAAGCATTTTCTGCCCTTCATTTTTCATGAGATCCTGTTTGGTTGTTTTGCTTTTTCAAGTTTAATTAATGATATTTAAATGTTTAAAATAAGTTAAATATTATATTTACATATAGATACCTCTCATTCAACCAACAAACAAATAAAAAAAATTACAGGAATTTTTGTAATTTTATAAATATATTTACGGCATTAAACATGAATTTAACAGTTTCATCTATTAAATAAACAGATGTCAATTTATAGTAATTTTAATCATTAAAAAGTTTAGAATTTTATAGTTTTTAAGTCACAAAATTTTGCCTTTAAAATTAATTCTGTAACAAAAAATAGGAATTTTACAGTATCATGTTTTTAATGGTATTTTATTAGACATGTAAATTTGCAGTCTGTTTTTGTAATTATATTGATGTTTTTTGTGTTTCAAAGTTACAGGAAAAATAAAAATAAAATGGGAAAATTCAGTTAAAAAAAATGTATGAAATGTATATTTAAAATAAAAAATAATGAAATATTTATTTGTTTAACTAAAAATACACACACACATTTTTTCATTTTTTTTCTAACAATAATTTACACCGTATGAACATTTTGTAAGTAAATTAACCTTATAATGTGATGCTAAACTCAAACTTAAAATCGAAAGGTACCAAACTGCTCAAGAATGATGTGAATGATGTGCCCCAGAATAAAAGGTGGTTTAAGTTAGATGCACCTACATCATTTAATTTCTCTAGTTTGTTTGGCTGCAGCTAATTTCTAAAGGAAGTCAACTTAAACTTTTTATGCTTTACCCAAATGTAAAAAGTAATTTTGCCATTAGACTTACTCTTCTTTTCTTGACTTAACTCGAAAATTAGAACACAGCGACTGACTTGCAGCAGAAAGTTTTGAAGACAGTAGTTGTCATAACATCAGACCCATAAAGCTAAATGAGTAGTAAACCTACTTTTTGCACCTTTACTGAGATCAGAACACCAGTGTAAAGGAACAAAGTGTAATTTAAAGTTGTTAGATTCCACATTTCTTCACCAAAGCAGAAAGACAAACGAGATTCACTGGAAACAGCGAAACTTTATTTCAGCTTCAGCTCAAACACGCTTTGTAAGGTGAAGGTTGACTGATGAGTCACTGCTTTAAGTGTCTGTGAGGCGTCCAGCATCTCCAGCAGGGGAGCCGGCACAGCTCACACAGCTGCAGTGTTCTGCTGCAAAACAACATCCACAAACACACACGTTCACACACACACACACACAAACACACAGCAGGCAGCCACAGCATCTGTCAGCCTCCTCTGCTCTCTGACACTGTGACCCTGTTTGGATCTTTTTCTCGGCGGCGCTCTGGATCTTGGCCTCTTGCTCGTTAGGTGATTCTGGAGAAGCAGGGAAAGGAGAAGCGCTTTAACACACCATGATTGAACTGTGCACATTTATAAAAGCATAAAAGAAACACATGTACAGCACTTTACAATCCGCTGCAACAACCCCGGAAGAGATTACTACTTTTACTATTATGGAAATTCAGTAATATTGTTGACGGAACAATCCCAGCTTAGCGTCTACTTAGCATCTATTTGTGTATCTGTCGACCACGTACGTTTCGTCAGCAGATGAGGTTTGGTCCGTTGTTTTGGAGACGGAGCTGTTGTCACGTTTTGGCTCAGCTGTAATTTGATGTTATTACGAACCATTTTTCACTGGAATCATGTGAGTAAAATGTTATTAAATGAAGTTCATCAGTTAATGCAAAAAGATAAAACACCTCAGGGCATGTTATTTGTGAGCTACAGAGCAAGAGAACTTTTTATTACTCATTTTAGCAGCTATTGGTTCATATTAGAGTCATTATTTGTCCTATTTCGTCTCACATTTCTTACATTGTGTACCAAACCGCTTCGTCCATTTCCATTCCAAATCAAATCATCTCTCATAGTGGTGATTTCTCACTCTTACATCAAATTTAAATGGACCATTCTGCAGTGCACTCAGACACAGAAATCAGCATTTCCCCAGACATAATTATCTTTGGCGTCATCGCGACAGACACCCCGGCGGTCAGAGTTTGCCGTTCTCATCTCGGCCGTGACAAAGAGCTGCACGGAAAGAAACAACAGAGTCGGGGAGAGTTGTTTAGGGACAGAGGTCACGCTATCTTCTTACCCAGAGGAGCATCTCTCATCAGAGCCGAGCCTCTGACTGTCCTGCTGCTACAAGGGCAGCAGAGAGGGAGGTTTTAACATAATGGCACCTTGTGTACACAGGAAAGGACGCCGTTCGAGGAGAATACAAATGCGGTGCTGATGCAGAGTCATAGCGCGGGCCATTCTGAAAATTAGATTTTCATGAAACATTAATATACAACATATATTCATGAACAAATGTAGGTTAGCTCCACCAATTCTGTGGAGAGGAGTGTTCAGAGATACAACCAGAAGCTTGTGGACGGCTATCAAAGGAGCACAGTCGAGGTAAAAAATGGCCGAATAACCAAATGATAGCTTTGCTGTGTTTATATTTTAGACTCAGCAGATTTGGTCATATTTCCAGAAGACCTATAATAAATCTATGAAAGAACCAGAATACAGTATTATTATGGGTTTCAGTTAGGGATGCATGATATATCGGCGACCGCATTGGTATCGGCGGATATCATTGTTTTTTCCGATATATCAGTAACGGTCAGATGAACAAATTTAGTTGATGTGAAAAACCGATGATGGTCTAACATTAGTGCCTTCGTCTCTACATTTGATATTGCTGCTATTTCACAGATGTTTTTACTTAAATGGTCGTGGACTTGAATGTTAAATATGTTAAAATATGTTTTACTTTTGTTACGTAATAAAGAAGACTATGTGGTCTAATTTGGTATGGGCTTCTTTTGAATAGTTTTCATGTTATCACAGTGCTTACTTATACTCATTTTTCAGTGTGAACAAAAATTGAATATCGACATTGATAATATCGGTTATCGGCGATATCAGAAACCTAATATCGGATATTGATATCGGCCTGAAATTTGAATATCGTGCATCACTAGTTTCAGTGATTCCCTCCCAGTAAATGAAGAGTTTATTGGAAACTCAAGACTGCCATGACATGTATGGTTCATGACTGTATGTAAATATGTAAACACACTGTATTTGCTCTAGGAAATACAGTGTCTATATACTAACAGTTAATAAGGCTAGTAAGGATTTTTAAGTTTGCACTAATTGACTGTTACTTCTATGAGCTGGCTGACAGCCACCAGGGCTCAGCAGTAAATCCAGATATTATGGGTTTTATCTGAGGAGCTGCAGTTTTTTTGATGCAGGTAAAATGTGTCAAAACATATAATTAGAAATGAATAATTGTGGTGCTACAAAGATGCCCCGAGCCTACAAATCATGATCTGCGGATGTTAATGGAACATGCTTGTGGCCACAGATCGTAGCTAAATCTACATAATCACTTCTATACTTGTGTTGTTGGGGGAAAAAAAATCCCATTTCTGTTTAAATCAGCAGCCATGTTGCAATATCTGGAGAAGAAATCAGTTGCTTATCATTCAACACCTTAAAACCACTGACTCCAGCTCTAATGTGTCCAGATGGCTTTTTAAAAAGACAAGCTCGCAAAAGTTGTCTTAAAGATGCCCTTGAATGCCACACACACGAGATCTTCTTAAGATACTGCAGCAGAAGCAAATGCTACACGTCTGAGTGGCCTGTTGATCTATAGAGCTAGTCGACATGAATAATAAAAAGAGGAGTTATTGCTCTTGTATTTCAGTAGTGGAGCGGTTTAGTTCTTGGTATTATAATGTAGTAGCTGTGATATATATATTTAAATCCATTGCAATATCACAGGTCTGATATTCAGCATTTTTCCAATTATTTCATTTTTTAAAATAATTCCAGACAAAATAAATTCATTTATAAAGTGTTATTTAGGAGTTTTCTTGAGTTGAGTAAAAGTTATCTTTTAATTAAACACACGGAAAACATAAATAAAAGCAAACCAATTAAGTTTTCCATTGAGTTAAGTGTTATTCAGACCACGATTTTCACTTTTACTGCCCATATATATCAGTTTCTGTCTGAAAATAACACATCAGTCCACCCCTAGTTTGAAATCTTTTTGAAATAAAACTAAACAACTAAACCAAAACTTGAGTGGTATGTTAATCACATGCTGTATATGTTACTGAGTTGTTAAAGGTGCACTGCTGTTTACATGTAAGCAGCTTTTTTGATGTTATCAATGTTCATTAAATGATGTTAAATACTGTTAAATGTATAACAATGCATATAATTAATAACCATCCAGTAACTTTACCTGATTGGCTAAATGTAGTGAAACACAAAGTGCAGCTTTTTTATATCAAACATGGTGGAGTGGATGTTTTAAGTATTATAAAATGTACATTCCTAAGTACTTTAAAAATCGTGACTCCAGCTGTGATTATAAATATAATAAAAAAAGACACGTCTGACTGTTTTTCGCTGTTCTTACGCAGCAACGTTTTCACTTTTCACATTACAAGAGCAAAGACTTTGATGGCGACGCCTAACGCCTTGACGCTCACTTTCTGCATTTGATCGTCCCATTAATGCACACGGTGTGAGAAAAGGCGTCCGCAGAGTTGAGATAATTCCTCACAGCGCACAGGAAGCTGCCATTTGGTTTCCGTCAGAGCTTCTGTTTCATCGGTATCTCCCTCCGCAGCGGCGTTTTCACATCAGCATCTCGCTGTCAATCACCTGGCGCTCTCAGAAAGATGCTGGAAGAAAGAAAAAGTCTCCAAGAAAGGAATGTGTCGCCTCTCAGTCTTTATTGTTGACGTCTGCTGCTTTAACTGGAACAGCAGCTCATTCCAGTGACATTTTCCTTAAAGGTCTGATTATACTGTGTTTTATCTGCTGGGTGCTTCAGCAGTAGATATGAGTATCATGCTGTGACATCTGCTGCTCCACTCTGAATATTCCTCCTGAGGGGAGCTCGATGCCACTCATGTCTTTGTGTGTTTCTGAGTGTGCGTGCTCATTAAAAGAGGATAATATTCTGGCACGTTCCAGCAGCTCAATATTTATCTTTGATTATGTTGTGTTGTGACATCGTTCATCTCTGCAGTTTTGGACACGCCGATGATGAAGCGTTCATGTGGAAGCTTTGACTCAGCTGGGGTTGTTATGAAATGTATGCATGCACGCTGTACGTGTGCACACAAGCTCACCGCCGTTTGTTGTGCTGCCAAAGACGGTTTTTGGCTTTGTTAAGCTGCCTTCGAATGAATATTTTGAAATAGATTCCTTTGAGTTTTCTACACATTTGTAGATGTTCTGTGTGATTTAAGCTAATTTTTGAGAGGTAAAAATGAGGAAATGCCACTTAAATGAAGTTTTCCTTTTTTAATTTCAGGTTTCAGCTGATTGAAGACCTGTCCTATGAAGATGTGAAGAAATGTTACAGGGGCTCGGTGAGTCTAACTGCATCTGTGATTCTTGCAAGTCCAACCAGTTGTATTCTCTTCATGCCTGTGCTCAACAGAAGTGGCATCCCCTATAAAAACAACACCTTCCCTGTCTGCGGTGCTAAATTCTGACACTGGAAACTGAATAAAAGGAACTGATTTGGCCATGCAGCCTCCCTTTATGTACATGTTGGACATTGATGCCATCAGTTTTTACATTTCTATCTGAGCACAATGCTTTTTCCTCCTTGCTTTTCTCATAGAGCTGCAATCTTTTCATGCTATAGTGAAAAAAAGTTGCTGCTTAGTGCGATCAAACTGCTGAATTCCATCATTTTGCACCATTGGATGACTAGACTTCAGACTAGTTTTGATGTATCCTACTGTAGTAGAAATACTGCAACCACGCCACAGACTATCCCCTCACATCACTTCGTCTATGAGTTCAATGTGCAGATTATTAACTGGCTAACATGAGCTGCTGCCCAGCGGCGGCGGCGGAGCCCTTGTGTGTTACTGTAAGCTACTGTTCGCGCCACAGTCCCGAGGACAGGAGCCGACTCCAGCACGAGCTATTAATAGAAAGACAAAAACAGGAGCGGGGAGACAACAACAAACCGAGCAGATACGAGCTGAGGGAAAGACGAGATAGAGAGCAGGACAAGAGGAGCGGGCTGAGATTATCTGGCGGCAGAGATATTTAGAGCTGCAGGAGGGGAGACGAGAGGTGGAGGATGAAGGTTTTCAGGGAGGAAAATGTGTGATTTTTGAAAAAGGCAGGAATTTTAGGTGTCACAGAGAGACAGGCAGGAGGAGAAAGTGACAGAGGGAAGGCAAAGAAAGATAAAGTGAGAGCAGTGAGGAGTACCTGTGAGTGTTTTCTCAGCTCAGGATGATGAAGGGCAGAGTGAGTGTATGTGTGCACAGGAGGAGGAGGAGGAGAGGGAGGGTGTCAGCTGGGTGCTGCAAAGTGTAGAGTCACTGGAGGTGTATTTGAGACAGAGAAAGAGAACCTTGTAGTTGGGAAAGAGCTCAGTGGCTGTAAACTGAGGCGTTGCTGCTGTAAGCCTGTAGTGTGTTTGCGTGTGTAGGTTTGTGTGTGTGCACATTAGATCCAGGTGTGTGTGTGTGTTGCACGTAGACTAGAGGTAGTTGCACGGAGGCAGTCGAGCCCGTCACTGACCGGCTGCAGGGGAACAGTGTGTGTCTTGCAGCGGCTTGCTCCAGGCCTTCGATGTGCGCGAGTGTGTTTGTGTTTACGGTGCCAACGTGCTGAGCCTGGTGCAGAGCTCGCGTCCTCTGAGGGAGAGGGTGGTGGTGTCGGCGCCGAGCGGAGCCGGAGTGGCCGGCGGTGGCGGTGGCGGCGGCGGCGGTGGTGGTGGCGGCGGCGGAGCGGCCGGTGGTGGAGGTGGTGCCGGCGCTGTGCAGGCAGGCCGGTCCGCCAAGGAGCTGCTCATGACTCTGCCCTGTCCCTCTGCACAGACTGTCAGCAAGTACAACTCGCAGTACCACAAACTGTTCCAGTGCGTGCCCAAGGATGAGATCCTCATGAAAGGTACTGTCAATGCTGTTTCACTCTGTGCTTGTGCTCTGTTTCATGATGCAGATATTAGTGTTTTATTAGATGTGGGTCATCCCGCCTCAATTCGCAGAATGCCTCATGCCTGAACGTTTTTTTCTGATGAAGTCTGCTTCTGACTCTACATTTTTTTAAAGCTCATATTGGTGCCAATCACAGGGGAAAAAACTAGCTCTTTGGGTGAAAAATTAAGGTTTTATGGTTGGAGTAGAAAAAAAGCTGGAGATTTTTTTAACCAAATTTGCACCATGAAATAATTGGATTGTATCATTCGATCAAAGCAGGGTTGTATCATTGGAGACTATGTGTACATGATAATTAACCTGCAAAATTTCAGAGCTTTGATTTCATTATTTCTCAAGTTATGGCTTTTCAAACATTGATCCACAGATTGATGCCAAGAAAACAACAGAAATTCACATGACTTCACCTTCTTAACAAACTAATGTCACCTATGACCCCAGATTATACACATGAGCAACTCAATCAATGTTAAACTGTTTTATTTTTTATTTTTTAAATGAAAGGTAGTCAGGCATGAACTCTTTTTAATGTGGTGAACTGAGGTAGAATGACCGGTATGAGATTTTTGCTACTAATGTCATCTGGAGGTGAATCCATCAATCAATGTGTCAGTTTGTCAAGCAACAGAAATTCGGCTGATTAATCAAACATGGTGGCAATTAATCAACCAAAATCAATCACAAATTCATGTGGGAATTTTCTGTTTTATGTCATTATAGTGTTACTATATCTTTAATTTACAGACTGCTTGTTTAGTAGAACAACTGATGTTAGTATGGTCCGATTAACACATTTGTAGCAATGTAACAGCTAAATTATTACTTTTTTTTGTCACATGAATGAATCTGTAATGAGACATTAGTAGCAGTGTTGGGCAATTACTACCTCATTATTACTGTAAACTTTAATTTCTCCCCCCAGCTCCATGAGGTACTCCAACACAATCCTCCACACTTTGCATCTTTACTATTTAAGACATTTTCCTTAAGTTTGTTTCAGTAACAAACTTACGGAACTAATATTTGTGTAAAATTATACTTTTTTTTTGAATTTTTCTTTTTCAGATTGTAGTTTTACAGGGTTGTAGGTGAGCTGGTGTGCTTCAGCTGCAGGGGTAGGGTGGAGATAGAGGTGGAGAATTAATAAATGTATGTATTCAAGATGAAGCAACAGTGGAGAGTTGCATTTTAGCCATTTTAAAGCGGGAAGGGTTTATTTTAATGGGAAATAAACTTCACAGAGATGAGTTTTTAGGTTTTAAATCAATAACAAGAAGGATTTTAAACAACGATACAGTTGTACAGTTTAAAGGGCTTTACTGACCTTCCAGTAGCAGCAGCTAGCTTAGCTTCAGCGACTGCAAACAACTCTCTAGTGTTCAGTGCAGGTTCAAGCGCTTTAATTCTGAAAGTAGTGTCTGAAATCACTTCCTCATCCATAACTCCTCCGATTTGAAATGAATATTCCAGACATTTACCAGTCACCAACACAATGTTACATGACGATCATTTTGTCACTGGTACATTCAGGGATTGTTATTGGGAAGTAACGTACATTCTGTGGACACTGTGTTTTGTTTTGTTTTTCCCCCATTGAAGGCACTTTACAGCAGAATAATTTACCTATTCAGAATTGAAGACTCTAAATTTAGAGCTCTACAAAGTAAAAAGGGGTGATTTCAGACACAACTCAGGTGGCTAACATTTGCAAGGCAGCTACAAGCACACAGCATTTACAACATTTGTGAACCAAAATACCTGATTTAACAACCTCCTCTGGTTAACATCAAGTGTTTTCATTGTTAGCATGTCCATATGGGTTTTTTTCACATTTTATAACATGTATCTTGAGCAAAATAAGCTTTCAATGACAGGGCTAGGCATTTCCACCCTGAAACTGCAGCGTACCAGGGACAGTTTCAAACACACTGATTCAGACGTTGAAGGTTTCAGATGTCACAACTTCAGTTTTTTGGGCGGAGCTTCTGTATTATTATTCTTCTTTAGAGTCAGTTTCCAGTTTGAACATGTATGGATGAATTATTCCAATATCATAACTTGTGACTGCGTAGTGGGTAGAGTCGTTTTACAGTGTTTAAGGTGAGCTGGTGTGCTCGAGCTGCAGCGAGCCAGGAGGCGTGAGTGAAGAGAGAGGCGGAGACAACAAAAATCTGGAGGAAACAACAGTTTAGTTACGTTTAAGCCATTTAAAACAGGAAGGGATCATCTTCATGGAAACAACGTCTGAATATGTCGCTTTGATATGCGGAGGTTAATTTTTAGGGGTTAAATCTACATCTGGAGAAGGGCTTTAACGGTTAAGGAACATGGATTTCTAAATCATTTCTGCTGCTTATTATTTGTTGTAAATGGCTCTCTTGGCACCACGTCCACCTTTTGATCGATCTTGCTTCAGCTCTGCCACCTGGTTAAGCTCAGAAACGCTCAGATTTCAGGACGCCGAGCTTCTCCTGCACAGCATCAACTCCTCTGTTTGCACATTTCTGCCTGATATATGGTAAACTTTGAAGCTATCTGCAACGCATCAAAATAAACCCTAAAATGTGAAACTTAAGAGGTGAATATTTATAGAAAAAGACCGACGAGGCACGAGAAGGATTTGGTATTGTGTACTTTTCTTAATCCAGTGTACAGCGGCTGACAGTGTTTTTGTCTGTTCTGTTCTCAGTGTACTCCTGCGCTCTCCTCAGAGATATTCTTCTACAAGGCCGACTCTACATTTCCAGAAACTGGTTGTGTTTCTATGCCAACCTCTTCGGAAAGGACATCAAGGTAGGAGTGACTGACAGACAGCTTAATAAACTCAAAGTGACTGAGAAACTTGAACCGACTGACTCCCCGTCGCAGTCTTGACAAGCCGATTGGACAACTTGACAACTTATTTGACTGGGAGTCAGTCAGGATTACGGGCCGACTTCAAGTTTCTCGCACGTAGAAAAACGTCTCGTTCTGTACGCCGGTGCTGCGAAGTGGAGAACGGGTCGACTTACGGAACCTTTAACCTTCAACCAGCATTGTGATCTTTTCTCTTTGATGCCGTGCATTGTACCTTTTCCTTCATTTCCCTGAAACCGAACCTCTCCTGACATCTCGGTGACAATAAGCTACTTATTGAGACCACATTCCTCGCATTCTGACTGAAATAAGACACGATTCATGTCCACTACTGCCTCTTTCTTGAGCGTGTTTTAATGTCTGCCTTCCCTTGCTGCCATTTATTTAATCATAATGGGGTTTTATCCTAGCTCTCACTATCTCGTCACCTTTTTTTTTTTTTTTTTTTAAGACTTCATCTCCTCATATCTCTTTATAAATGTCACCTTCTTGCCTTTCTTCCATCCCCTCTAGGTGGCTATCCCTGTAGTTTCCGTGAGGCTGGTGAAGAAGCACAAAACAGCCGGCCTGGTGCCCAACGGCTTGGCTATCACCACCGACACCGGCCAGAAGGTAAACACTTCCGTCACAGCGGCTGTAGATTGAAATACTTGTGCTGATTAGCGCGACATGGCTGTGTTTTCCACAAGAGCTGTGATGGAAAAAGAACACAACACCATGCTATAGATAGACGCAGCGCTGGTGGCCAAAGAAGGTGAAGGGTTTTTTTTTTTTTTTTGTCAACCGTTACTGCAATGTTCAGAAGGGCCTCTTCACTTCCTGTCACACCAGCCTCTCATCAGGCGGCACTTTCAAAGACAATTTGTACCTTTCAGCTTTTGCCCTTTTGTCCTCCCAACCCCCAGAATACTGATAGCCAATAAGCAACAGTAGCACATGTGTAATTTATCTTCGACTGCCAATTAGCGCCTCACAAAAACAGACCACTGCAAACGCATGTTGCCCAGAGGGTGAGAAATGTTTTAATGAATTAATCATTTGCATGCAGCGTGCTTTCTGCAAGAGAGAAAAGAGACGGGGGAAACTGAGTCATTTGAATGCCTAATTTGCTAAATTGAGGGAATAATACAACAATATTGAGCACACAAATAAGCAATTTGAAGCTGTGATTCATCAAAAAACCTCCCACCATCGACGCCCACGAGGCTCTGTCTTTCAAAACACGAGCACGTCGACGTTTTTAGCGATTTGCAGCTGAAACTCGGAGTTATTAACTCAAATGTGCAGCGGAATGAGATTGAACAATAACTGATGCATTAAACGTGTCACATACACGTATTAGAAGTATTAGCGAGTGGAGCGGTTTTTAAATTAAAAGAACGATTTTTCGAGCGTTTGCGCTTTAAAGTTTTCAAGTTTAATGTTTTATAACAGACATGTTTCTGTAGAGGCACATTTTATTGTAATCTCACGACATTTAAAGTCATTTCCGGCTGCTCCAATGACAGATCTTTAGCATATAATCAAGTTTTGTTTTGGTTTTTTTACCTTCAATACATGAAAATACTAGTATATGACAGAATATTCTTTCTAGCTGTAACACAGATACTTGCAGACTGTTGCCAAAGCACACACATGAACACACAGCAGCTGACTGTTCAACATTACGGGAGTCACACTGTGCAGAACAAGCATGTGTTTAGAAGATACTCGTGCTACACTGTCATGTCATTTATACATATACCACTGGCTGTACATCGTGACTAATCGTGCTGGTGGTCTTCAGTAATCACACTTTTGTTAATCTCAACAATTCCTTTCTTCAGAATCGTCTGTATTGCCAAGTACATTTTCACGTACAAGGGATGTGAGTTGGTGTTTTGGTGCACAACAGGAACCACGAGCACGGCAAGGTTAGCAAGGGTAGCAAATCCAAAGTAATGAAAAGTAATAGAATTAGTCCCTGTGTGCAAAAATGTGGAAATTGTTCATGTGAGGTTACGTATAATACAGGATACATTTCTAGATAAATGCACAAGAAAATGCTGTCAGCACTGATGCCACTAGACCCTTTTCTAAATAAAACATGATAAATTAAAAGTAAACAAAATAAAAAGGAGAAAACAGACAGGTGATAAATTAAGAGACAACCTGAACCAATAACCCCGACATTAAGGATATCTTTTGCGCTGTAGGGGGCATTTTGCTGGTTTAGGTCCATTTGCCCCTTTAGAGTGAAGAGACACCGTAAATCAATACAAAGTTCTGTTCTGAGTGATCAGCTTTATCCATGAAACATTTCTATCCTGTTGAGATGGAGGTGATCCCTTCTAGGATGACAGTGTCCCCATCCAGAGGAGCCACTGACTGGTTTGATGGAAATGACGTGACTCATATGGTGGGGGGTTCACGGCCACTAGATCCAAACCCAGCTCTGGGTCATCAGACAGCACCATCATTAAAACACCAAAAGAGGGAATATCTTTTGGAAGAATGGTGTTCATCTGTCCAGTAGAGTTCCAGAGACTTAGACAATCAACGAACACTGAAGCTTAATCAATGAGCAACACCTTACTAAGACTCTTTGTGGTCCTTTAATGTGTCACCAGTTTGTATGCAAGGGTTCAAAAAGTTCTTGGACTCACCAGAACCCATTACAGGAGAAACATGGTTCCTGCATTACTTTTCAACTTAGTCTCCTTTAACTTAATCGCACTCGATCCGTCGACGTTCAAGCTTCTCGAACCCTTTGTGGAAGAAGGTCACATGTTGAGCCTCCAGATTCTCAACAATGCGCATGACTTCATCATTACTTGGGAAATGGCGACAACACAGTTCAGTTTGGGAAACAGATAGAAGCCCGACGGTGCAGGTTGGGTGAGTAAAGTTCATGAAGCAACAGTGTAAAGCCACATTTGGCTGCCTTTGCTACCTGAGCTACGTGGACGAATACATTGTCCTGGAGCAACAGCAGCCAGCTCCAACCTTTCCTCTCTGTTTTCTTTGATTGCTTCCAACATTTGAGTTTTTGTGGACAGTGATAGGAGACTTTATGGTTTCCAGTTATGCCACTAAATGGGAGTTATATTGCTTGTTTACGGGTGAGGCCAAGAACTTTATGAAGCACCCTCGTACACAAAATGGTCATATGACTTCATCCTCCTTTTCTGTTGAAGTTTACATGTTGTCTCAGCTGGTCAAAGCAGCAGAGTAAGATAGTTCTTCACAAACACAGTAAATCGTTCTCAGAAGTCAAACACTTTATCGTATAATCCAACCCACTGGCCAGAGAGTTGGCTCCACCGGCCAGCAGCTCAGCTTAAAGCAACAACCTTTAGGAAGTTAAAGCCGGTCAAACATGCAGCTTTTATCATATGGGCAGTATGTCTCGTCCCCGACAAGGGCAAATATCTTATATGTGTGCTTGATTGTATAATATGCATTACATAACCACACGCAAACACACACGTCTGTACATGAGCACTGCAGTGCATGTGTCTGAAAACTGACCGAGGGTCGCCAGGTTTAAAGTTCGCAGCTCGTGTCTGTAACCACAAAGTTCAGGTTCATCCGTATCTTTCCCACACATTCATCAGACTGTTTATGAGAAGCAACTGATAACGTGCACGCAACAAACACAGTGTGTCAGTTCTCATAAACAAACTCCTATGAACTTTTTTATGGCGATATTCATCCAGGTCAGAGCGATATTTGTTTAAGCCGTCGCTGACCTGTCGGTTATAATTTCATGAAAGAATAAACCGGAACAAAAGTGTGATTAGAAAAATCCTCTTTGTGCTCCAGATTAAAGCTTTTGAATCCCTGAAGTGTTCTTCATCCAAATGAAAGTTTAACTCGTCAAGTAATGTTGACGCTCTGCGATGCTGCACAAACAGACAGGTGACGAATTAAACCTGAACCCTTTAACCCGACAGCGAAGGAGAGCCGTCTCTGAAAATCGCTATCAAGTTTTGTAAAGTTTTCTGTGATCACCTTTTTCCTACACTGGAAAAAAAAAAGGAATTGTAAAGACTCTATTATATATTTTTGAAAAACATAAAATAATAATTCAATTATAAAAAATAGACTGGATTTGCATGTCTAAGGTAAAAGAACATTAAAAACCTGCAACTTTGAACAAATGTAAAGTTTTGTACTTTTGCGTAAAGGCTGTTCGATCGGGTTATCAGACAGAGAAGCTTTATTTTGCAGATTTTTTCTGTATCTAAAATACGCAACAATACTAACAAAGTTTCAAAAATAGACTGTACATTTACATTGTAAGATAACAAAAAACACTGGCGATAATTTTTAATGTTTTAAAGAAAAATATACATTTCTAGTTTTAGTTATAGAACTTTATTATAAATGTAGTGCTGGAAATATGTTTGTAAAATTAGTTTCCATTAGTGACATGTAACAGCAGAGAAGTATTGATTGTTTAATTCTAAATAGGTCAGTTTGTTAATTGAGAGACATCTCATATGATTACAAACGTTTTCACAGCAGAAATGTTGCATGAATGTGTTTCTATCAGTGTTTGAATAATCTGCCACATAACTACATTACATTATGAGCTACATCATTAGTTCTTATACCTACATTAAAGATCATTTTATTGCTTTTACACATAAAGATTCTTAATTAAACTATACATTTACAATAAACACAATTAATGCCATGGAAAATCTTTTTTTGTTTTTAGATGTAAAACTAGTTTATTTTCGGGTGATGGTTTTTAAGAGTTTTTTGTTTGTTAGTTTTTAGATTTTTTGACAGTGTATGATGAAATATTTCTATCCTGATGGGATTTGTCTCTTGCGGGATGATAATACCCTCGTCCATAAACAGGTCATGAAGGGTCACTGGATGATTTGATCAGGATGAAGATGAGTAAATCATATCGGATCTCAACACCTAAACGAGATCATCGTCATCAAAACAACAAATACGGGAATATTCTCAGAAAAAATGGTGCTTATTCCTCCAGTAGAGTTCCAAAAACTTCAATCAACTCAGTCAATGTTAAGGTGCACTGAAGCTGTGCGGCCCAACACCTGACTGAGACACTTTCTGTTGGCTTTTCCTTCAGTTTGTCATCAGTCTGTATGTTGTCTATGTTGTCAATCAAACTTTTTGACTGTATGCATGTAAACTGAAACAAATCACTTTGTTCTGCTGTTTGTTTAATAAGTATAATATGAACTGATATTATGCTTCTCTGTGTCTCTGTTTTCTTCCTTCAGTATGTATTTGTGTCTCTGCTGTCCAGAGACAGCGTCTATGACGTCCTCCGCAGGATCTGCACCCACCTGCAGGTCAGACACACACACATATGTGCATCCTATTCATCCAGTCTGCATGAACTCGTCAGCTAAAGAGTTCCTCTCACCCTGCAGGTCAATGGGAAGAGTCTGAGCTTGAAGCAGTTCATGGAGGAGCCGACCTTGTCGCTGGTCAGTGAGAAGCCCTTTGATTCTCTATTGTAAAATCTAAAAGCTGTAAAAATCAAAGTGAGCAGAACTTCAACAAGTCGTGTGAAACACCGACCAGAAGGCCGACTTTACCTCCTGACACCGACGGGATCAATAGATCTTTCTGTTGCAGCTGCAGCCTTGCAGTGAGTTATTCTCAGAGTCGGAAAGATGGTATCGTACAGCTCTCAGAAGTCACCTTGTGTGAGCTGCAGCTCTGCGACAGAAACTCTTTTGTATTAAAGAATAATTAAGTTCTGTTAACATGCTCGTCCTTGATCACGCTCTAACCTCCGCTGATAATATTCAGAGAGAAAAAAAAGAGTGTTTGTTCACGGAGCCGGCATAATATCATAAAGGTTTTATAGAGCTTTGGTGTCCCCTGACTGAGGTTAAATGGATTGAATTATTATAAATCCACTCATCTTAAGAAATAAATGTAAAAGAATTGCAAATATCATTTTCTTTGGCAAAGATTTCTTTTCAGTGTAGCTCTCATCAGGGCTCCTGTGGGTCTTAGCTTGAAATCAAAACTCAGATTAAACTAAATTTAATTCAAATATAAATTAAAAAAAGAAAGATTAAAATAAATGTAATAAAATAATACAAATCAAAACCTAAAACAGAAATAAAAAATGACTACAGTTAAACATGATAAAAGATTCACAAAATAAATCAATATAATGAACAGATAAAATAATAAAAGCATCAAAAATGCTGTATGAAATTAAAAAAATAGAAGAAGAATAAGAGAAAATAGAAGGTAGAACCGAAAAAACTAAGGTATATAACAGTAGCAATAGTAATAGTATAAGAAATTATATAAATATGTAAATAAAGGAATAAAAATAGTGAAATATAATAAAATACACAAATAAAAGAGATGACATGAATGTAAAGCCATATATCTAAAAGCTTTATAAGTAATAGCTTTGATTTTTATGAATCAGTTACAAACCATTAATAAACCAATAAGATTACATTTATAACTGTACAATAAATAACTTTATTTTACATTTCTGTCTGCATTGTTACAAAAAAGGAACAATAAAGATAGACAGATTAAACCTAAAGCAAGTAACGGCTTTTTAACTTTCAATGAAGCATTAATAAATGACTAATAACCACTTTAGTTTCAGCTTTACACCACTGGTGTCCTGGCAGCTGACATGAAACTCTTTTATGTGCTGCAGCTGTGTTTTCATCTTTCCAACACCGTCTGCTCCCTCCTCTTGTTCCGCAGGACGAGTTCCCGACTCCAGACGAGTTCCCGGTGGTCGACGAATTCCCATCAGTGTTAAAGTGGAGAAGGAAACCCTCCGTGGTGTCGGTGTCCTCCTCCCTTCCTGACCTCCTGGGGAACTCCACCGGCAGCCTGAGCGCCGCCGACACGCCCTTCAAATCAGAGCAGCCGCTGGAAGGTGATGAAATGCAGACTCGTTACACGGACACAAAGTTCAAGGCTGCGTCGAAGGCCGCACGCTCTCGCTTTATTGTGTCTTGTGACATATTTTGAGTCGAGCGGTTTGAGGTAATAAGTGAGCAACGGAACCAGGAATATGAAGCAAAGCTGTAGGGGGAAAGGAAAGTGTGCAGGTTAAACACAGGAGTGCTGTAAGAATATGCTCTGCCAAGCAATAGATGGGAGCTTTAGCATAATGAGAGGCTGCATTATGTAGCTCAGGGGTTTGTAGGGAATAAAAGATTTAAAGAGTCCTGCCAAGTGAGGAGGTGCTCATCCGTGGAGAGTTTTATAGGTGATAAGTAACAGTTTGTAGTCTGACCTCAATGAAATATGGAGTCACTGAGGACACAGATGATGTCCACAGAGTGTCATTTATACTGCAGGACAACAGCGTGAATGTTGGTTACACTCTACAGCATGTGGTCGGTGTTTATGGTTGTGGGTTTTCGTTGTTAGCTGAATTTTGTGTCTCAGCGCGACAGAAAGAAAGACAGCAAATGAGTAATTGCTTTTGGACGGAAACGTTTCCGTTACGCAACGACACATTAAGCCCCAAATGGAGATTAAATCATGTGGCTGCTTGTATTAAAAAGCTCTGGGCGGATGCAGATTAAGCGGAGATTATCACAAACAATGTCTGCTGTCAGAGTTGTCTGAGGACAGTTTAACGGTTCTATGCTGACAGGCTTAGGATCGATTCAAGACACTAACCTACATTGCGTGTCGGGTATTCGATCGGCGTGAGCTGTCGTGTGCGTGAGCATCACACGTGGAGAAGGGAGGATGGGAAGTTGTGTAATTAAAAGACGTATGAATTAGTAACACAACCTGAGTAAATACCTGTTTTGTAATAGCTTTACATGACAAGAACACACACGTGTGATTAAAACGCTGCAGGGAGCTCATGATTTTGTCTGATACGGGTGGTGTGTGATACTGATAGTAAAGGAAAAACAGTGAAACATTCTATATTTATAACTCTTTTTACAATTTCTTTTGCTTTTTTTACATTTCAGTGCAAAATCCAAATAATCAGATCCATCCATCCATTATCTATACACCACTTAATCCTCACTAGGGTCATGGGCTGCTGGAGTCTATCCCAGCTGACTCAGGGTGAAGGCAGGGGACACCCTGGACAGGTCACCAGTCTATCACAGGGCTACACTTAGAGACAGACAATCAAGCACACACTCACACCTACGGACAATTTAGAATCACCAATTAACCTCAACATGTTTTTGGACCTTGTGGGAGGAAGCCGGAGAACCCGGAGAGAACCCACGCTGCACGGGGAGAACATGCAAACTCCACACAGAAAGATCCTGGGTGTTGACACTGGGACACGAACCGGCGACCTTCTTGCTGCGAGGCAACAGTGCTAACCACCGCTCCATCTTGCAGCCCAATAATCAAATCATTTATGTAAAATATATCAGTTGAGCCTGAACTACAAATGAAACGTATTCCTACCTATGTATAAAGTCACATAAAATGCACCGATTTGTTGTCCTCGTGAACAAAATAACGCAACTTGTTCAATCTAACATTCATTTAACTTGATAAATACTTTAACCTTAGAAGGCCTAAAAGGTTAAAAGTAATTGATTAAACAATTCTGTGTATCAAAGTTACACATTTACAAGATTTTTAAAATGAAAAATAATCCTTTCCTGCCTCACAATTGCTTAGATGTATCTCAAGCACACCAGCTCACCTAAAACGCTGCTTAAATGCTCGAAGACTTTCGTTTTCCAGATGCTCTCGAGGCCTCAGATGACAGAATGTCTTTTATAAAACGCTCCTGTAATGTGACACATTACTGAAGGTGGAGCGTTCTGCTTGTGTTCACATGTTTTGTTGATGCTGATGTTGAGGACGTTCTCAATGCAACATTCGGGAAACGTTTTAAAACCATTCCAAGACCTAAAAGCAAACTTAACAACATTACTAGAACTCTATGGAATGTAGCTGGGATGTGTACATTCAGACAACGCTGACGGTTTCGTGTTATTGTGTTCCAGAGCGAGCTCTGCAGACGGACAGAGGTCTTTTATCAGAGCCAGTGGCGGAGCTGGGCCAGATGGAGTACCAGCTGCTCAAGTTCTTCACCCTGCTGTGAGTATACAGAGGGACACGGCGACACCAACAACGCCACCTTCACCTCCTCCAACAGCTGACTCACAGCTCCACACACACTGGGAGCATTAACACGCTGGTATAAATAGTGGGCACATTCAGTCGGACCCAAACACGGGGGACCGGAGCTGCTGGAACACTTTGACTGAACAAAACCTGCAGCAAATTTTACATTAAAACATGTAAAACTTTAATTAGCCCCCTAAAGCAGGTCTAAAATATCACTTAACCCTGTTCAGGACTTTCATGTTGTCATACATAGAAGGTCTTTGGGGATCCATTGGACCCCAAGAAAGAATATGTGCAAAATATTTGTTGGTATTCATTATACGATTATACTATGTTACATTACATTTTCTGATAAGATGACATATTTTTGGTTCCAAATGCATGACAAATGTCCTTCTTTTTATATTTAAAAAAAAATAAAAAATCTTCAAACATAAAAAACAATACCTGTCGGCTAAACCAAATGGCCTGAATAAGGTTAAATATCACATTTGCTGTAATCAGACCTCTTATTCCAAGGAATCAACAAACTCATGACACAGAGATTCATGTGTAAGTTGTGGGTTTTGTTAAATGTTTCTGTCACACACAGTTTATCAGCTGCGATTAAATCTTTTTTTTCTTTTTCTTTTTACACATAGCGGCCATCCTCAGGTTGAGCTCCATTGCAGCTGTTGCAATGTTTTTTTTTTTCAATTTTACTTTACAAGACAGAGAAAATTTGCAAAAGTAACCTTCAAAAATGATTTAACAGTCTAGTTGAGAACTGGTTAAATAAAGGTTACAAATATAATCCCTAATATATACAATTTTCCTTCAAATAACAGTAAATATCTGCAAAACAACAATCTTTTTACTGATCCAAATATACAGAATGAATGCCGCAGATTAAAAATAATGACAATTAATGTGGACACTATCCACAACTCTTTTAGACTGTTTACAAGTAATAGTTAGATTATCTTCACACATGGAGAGAATTTTCCCTGTTGAGGAAATCACACATAAACCACTATTAGTTACTTGGACAGATTGACGAGCTGCTATTATTTAGTGTTGTTATGCGTCGTACATCCCATAATGTTCCGGTCTGTGCAGCACGTCGGATCGTTTGTCCGAGTGACAATCGCTGTTGGCTCCACCTGCGCTGTAGTAAAGCAGGATGACGTGTGATCAGGGTCGCTGTCCTTCACCCAGAAAACATCAAGCAGCTCTGCAGAAGTGTCCTTGAGAGAGAAACAAGTCTTTCTCTGGTCCTGTCATATCGCTAATGCAACTCCTGACCTCCTGCTGAGGAAAGAGAGAAAAGACGCATTTTTCTGCAAGACAGTGAAAACTCAACACACATTCCCGCCTGATAATTAACTCCTAACTTAATTAAAAGACATTGAATGAAAAAGTACACTCATTATTTTTCTGATTTTGCAGCATCTGTACGTTTTTTTCAAATCAGAATTGTATAAATAAACAAACCAGAGCCTGTTTTTAAACACATTCAACACCTTTAGATGCTCCATCATGACTTCTCCTGTGTTCCTTTAAGACAGACTGGGTCACTGGGTTGTTCCAGGACAGTACAGCCTTGTTGCAAGTCGTCACAAAGACAAATGTTGCCTCCCAGTGTTCATCCACAGACACTGCAGCTCTTCTTCCTCCACATCAGCAGAAGATCTCAGTGTCTAATGTCATTACTGTCCTGATGTGATGTGACTAACATCTCCTCCTCCTCCTCCGTCAGTATCATTCTGCTCATCCTGTCGTCGTGCTACCTGGCCTTTCGCGTGTGCAGTCTGGAGCAGCAGCTGTCTTTCCTCAGTAACCCCAATCTGCCGCTGAGAGAAAGGTAACAAGACATCCGCCACGTCATCAGTGAGTTTATATGATGTGAAACGGCACAGCGCAGTCACACACTGAACATAAAGGACACACAGTGTGCGTGAAAGATGAGATTTATATGAAGGCAACAAAATAAACCAAATTATGAGACTGTTGTCTGAAAAGTTATGTTGATTGTGCTGCATTGTTAAATGGCACATTGTGATTTATCGTGTTTTCATTTAGCGGGCAGTACTGGTAAATATCATCACATCAAACTATATAAATGTACCAGATGTCATTTAAAATGTGCAGCTCCAATGAATATGATTAAACTTTTAAATTAGTAAAAGTAAAACAAGTCGAGCCCCTCTCAGACATGCACTCTTTTCTGTTAATTTGCTGTAACTTTCCTGTAAAAGTCACAACAATAAGCTCTTTAGGTCAGACCCAGTGACGATTTTGTATCACTTTAAACACAACGAAAATTTGATCTATGGAGAATCGACAGATACAAGCAGCATACTTGGAGTTAAATGAAGTGATTTAGGGATGATGTTTTCCACATTGCAGCATCAATACCGGTCCAAAAACATTACAAAGAGTGAAAAAGGCACAAGCTGCATGCCTAAACTACAAAAAGCCTTTTACATTCACTTTGTTTTACAATTTCACACCTGACAAACTGAAATATCCATAAAAAGCTAACTTTACAGTGAATACGACAGGTTAGGTTAATGAGACACCTGGTTTGGACAAAATGTCGACAGAAGCTGATGTTAAGTTTGTTGCATCCAGTTGTTTGTCGGAGTTTTTTCTTCTGAGTTTATTAAATAAAAAAAAATAAAAAAACTGTAATGAACAATATACACCTAATAGACTAAAATATGCAAATAAGTGAAAAAATAAATAAAACAATAAAGTGGAGTAACAAATAAATAAAGTTCATCAAATCAATTAATGTGCACATAAAGAATAAATAAAATTATTTCTAAGAAGAGTAGTAAAAACACAAAATCTGTGAAATCAGTCAAATCTATTAATGTGTAACTCGAGAAATCAATAAATAAAATTAGTTCTAAGAAGAGAAATAAATAAATAAAATCTGTTTATTAAAAAAGATGAATGGATTTGAAAATAGAGAAATCAATAAATTAAATTGGTTCTAAGAAGAACAATAAATAAATAAACTCTGTCAAATTAATCAATGTGTAACTCAAGAAATCAATCAATAAAAATTAGTTCTAAGAGGAGTAATGAATAAACAAAATCCGTCAAATCAATTAGTGTGCAAATAAAGAATCAATAATTATAATTATTTTTAAGAAGAGGAATAAATACATAAAATCTGTGAAATCAGTCAAATCTATTAATGTGTAACTTGAGAAATCAATCAATAAATAAAATCAATTATTGTGTAAATACAGAAGTCAATAAATACATTTATTTCTAAATAAAATCCATCAAATCAACCAATGTGTAAGTAGAGAAGTCAGTAATTAAAATAATTTCTTAGAAGAGTAATAAATCCATAACCTCCATCAGATCAGTCAGAAGCAGACTACAGGTGGATGTTGGGTTTGTGTGTGACGTTGACTGAGCAGCTTCCTCCTCGTCCTGGTCCATGCAGGTAACCACTGCTCTCCGCTGTAACCCACCACACCGGCTGCTGTTTCATTCCTCTCACGCTTGGAGTCGACGCTGACCTCCTGCACAGATCCAGGACCAGCTCAGATCGACCCCGACACGCCGGCCGCGACATCAACCGAGGAGCGGCGGCGGCCTCCCCCCACCGCGGACCCAGTTCCCGTTTCAGTGATCACTTCCAGACTATGCAAAACAGACTGTCTATTTATTTCAGAATATAAAGTAGGTTTTACTTTAGTTTGTGATTTTTCTTTCTCCCTCCTGCAGCCTGTCCCCCCCCCCCTCTCCCCTCACAGACATTTCATCTTTAACCACGTGATGCTTCAGTGTAAAGAGAACTAGAGATCAGATGAACCTGCTGTTGATGAAAGAGGTGAGAGAGGATTACTTGAAGAGTCACAGTTTAGTTATTCCAGGTGGCTGCAGCAGGAGTGACTCAGCTATTCATATCCAGCATATTCTAAAGTGGACTGAACCAAATTTTTACTGATGAGATTTCACCCTCAGTAGGAAAACAAAACAAAAAACTAGCCAATGCACTTTTTTAAACATAGGTCCACATGAAATCAAATGTGTGTAACTGTTGAGATCTATTTTTTGCTGGATAATAGGTACTCAGTTGTCATTTTTGAAGGTATTTATGGAAGCAATGGAAGTGATGTTGTAAGCACAGACTGAATGAAGTTACCTGTGATGAACCGGAGCGATAACGCCACCTTGAGGGCGAAATAATGTGAATGAGACGCTTCCATGTCGCGCATAACTCTTGTTTTTTATCGCATCGCGTCTCCGCCGTGTGCCCAGGCTGTCTGTCGGTTTTATACATTTCAAATGAAGGCGTTGAGGTTGTTCATGTTATAATCGATATTTTACTGATTTCTTTGCAGACATGTAGTCCTGCAGTCCTCGTTTGTGAAATCCCTATGAATTAAATTGGCAACAAAATGTAGATAAACACACACACAAACACAAAAAATATGTTTCTGGCTTTTATTTTTCACTCACTTCGGGTGCCAAGACTTTACTATCTGGCGCTCGAAAAAGGCTCGACTCCAGCAGCACTGCAAGTTTAAGTAACCTCTACGAGTCGGGCTGAATTATGAAACTGAAGCACAATGTTGGCAGGAGCGCTCAGTGTTTAATAAATTACATATGCTGCTCTGGCTTTACACCGCTGGCACCGGCTTTCTTTCCGATGGCTCAGTTTAAATGTAATAACTTGTCATGGGTTGAAAACTTGTCTCCTAAAATGTTAACTGAACTACAGGAAAACGTCTGTGACTTTAGTGGAGGAATATATTAATACAAATACGTGTTCAACATTATCTGATGGGGTTTGAAAAGACTCAATAAACTGATTTTCTCATCCTTAATGTGACCCTTAAAAGAAAAATGAAGTTATAGTCAGTTGCAGCGATGATAGTCGACTGGGAAATGCATGACATTCCCTGAAGTTCAGGTCATTTTTATGAAAATACAGTCGTGACTTGATAATCCGACCTTTAACAATCTGAAAACCTTGCTATCTGACAGGGTTATAGGAAAAACAAACGGAACCCATTAAAAATAGCCTTGACACACCAACAGCCTTGGATTCCGACCCCGACATGACATTTTATGTCACAAATAAGGATAACGGTGTATTATCTGACTGAACAATCCGATAGATTGGCTACATTCAGGCTGCAGGACTTAATGCTCAATTCTGATTTTTTTGTGAAATCCAATTTGCTTGCAAGTTCGTTCACATTTACAGTTAAATACGACTTGTATGTGATCTGCTGTGTGAACTTCATACGACCCAAAAGTGTCCCGCATGCGCAGAAGAGGACACGACGACGTCACACGCAGCGAGTGTGCTCAGTGTTTATGGAAGCAAAAATGGATGGTAGCGGTGGAGTGTATCTGCCACTCCCCCACCATCACCGACAGTGGGAACAGAAGTGTGACCGCTACCTAAACTAGCATCAGCAGCCAAGTACTGCCTGTGCGTTCCAGCCACTTCCACCCCGTCGGAGCACTACCCCAGGGTGGAAGAGCCCCCCCGACCACACAGAATATTCAGATATTCATCATTAATTGGGCCTGAATATCCAGAGACCACAAAGTGCTATTCAGACCAGCCCTACTAGTTATTATAACAACTATGAACAATAAGTATTAACAACAAATGACCTTTCAAGCATCAAGCCCTCCTTGTATCTCGACCTCTGTCTTGACAATCCGACAGCCTTGCTATCTGACATAAAAGAAGGTTTAGATTTAGTGTCGGATTATCGAGTCACGACTGTATCTTCTACAGTTACAGAGAAACAGGAAAATAATCCCTCAGGCAGATTATTAAACAAAGATCATGCATCTAATTTTCTGAGTCTGTCGCTTTGGCCCAACAAAGTTTGATTTCATAGATTGGCTGAATAATGGTGGACAGAGTTAATTCACACTGTTTCCAACCTACGATATAAGCATAGTGAAAACTGCTTTTAAATAGAGCTGAACATCCACTTTTGAATCAGCAAGTATGGTGAGAAAGAGCTTAACAGGCACTTCACTCCTTTTATTTGGCTTTAAGCTTAAAAGAACAACGTGTGAATCAGCTCCTCATTCAAACTATATAATATCAACTGTGAATAAATGATCAAATCCAGATAATGCAGACCTCTAACGTGTTACCCATGATTTCAACCTCATTGGTAGTCTTTTGACACTTTGAATCCCCTCTACAATTTCAAATAAAGCTCTGTAGGCTGCAAAACATGAGTTTGTACTGAATGAAAATTGGTGGGTTTGAAGATCTTCTGGCTCTGTACGTATCTTAAAGTTTATAGAAGTGATTCTGAGTTCATGCAAAATAAAAACTTTTAACAAAACAACCAAAGACAAATAATAGTGGTGTTACAACCATCATGAAGATGTTTATTTTTGCTAAAAATACATAAATTACATGTTAGAAGTTGCCTATTGATATGTCTTATCGATTTTAATTAGAAAACAAATTAATTTGCTTTTCTCTCACACAATAATCACTCAAAAGGTTTTTAATTCAACTTAAGGTGGCCTTCCTGTTTCAGTGACTCTGTGTCATTGCAGGAATCGACACTGACATCTAGTGAACAAACAGCACAGAGCAACACAATCCATCCACTTTTATGTAACGAGATCTGAAGTGACCTACATCCATTCAGTGGATCAGCAGCAGCGTTTAGTCTGGAGGAAGTTGCCTTTGTTGTGTTCTTTTCTTGTTGTTACTCTCAACATGACCCCAAATGTGATGCTTAGATCAGAGTAGATCAAATTCTCCACTGAATTCAGGATAAATTATAGTAAACGCAAATGTAGGTCCTCAGTATTTCTGTTCACTGCTTGACTGAACCACCTGGTTACA